TCTTCTCGCTGATAACTTCACCACCGGTGGAGTCCAGTCGGCGGACCGTCGTGCGGTTCTCTCCTGCGACTCCAAAAGGACGAATGTGCTCCGCAGACTTATCCAAGCTCGTCGGTGTCCTGATCACTTCCCTGATCCAGTCAGGATCGTTGATGTCTGTCAGGCGCGTGATGCTACTGTCCTGGATCAAGGCAAATGTGCCGTAGAGTCGGGAGTCATTTGTTTCCTCCTGGCAGAGAATGCAAGTACCACTAGGATACTTCCATAGTTTAGTCTCGGGAGCAGTCTCGGCTTCGGATTCGAGGTCGCTAAAGTCCTCCTCTCCCCAGTCAATTGCACCTTGGCTGTTAAGGAAGTTCTGTTGCTGTTGCTGGAATTGAGCCATAACCCTCGCTTGTCTTTCAAGGGCCTGCTTCTTCTTCAGTTCCTTCTCATTGTCGGTGTCAATGGCAGGGGAGCTTGTGTCTACCCGATCGAACGGGAACTTGAGAGAGGCAGTGGCGGAGGCGTAGGCCTGAGGGCGCTTCTGCCAAAGCCTTTTCAGGATATGACGGATCTTGGGCCCGCAGGCGGAGAATTCACTCATGACAGAGATCTTCTCCAGAAGACCAACAATAGTTAATGATCCAGCCAGAGTCGTTTCCTTGGCCTTGTTCAAGGCATGCGACACGAATGACGGTGAGGAGCCATCATCCTCGCTACTATCTTCAAGAGACGCCGCAAGGATGAGGTGGAGGACAACCTGGAGGAAGGTCTCCACACGGGTAGGCGGGATGTTGGGAGTACGCTCTTTCGAGGAGACCACGTAGTCCAAGCAGTGGTGGACAATTTGAGCAAAAACCAGCGTCCTTGTGAACTTAGGAAGTTCCGAGTATGCGCCAGAAGTGATAGGGCGCAGCTTCGGCTCGAAGACAATGTCTGATGCCTTCTTCCCAGATTTCTTGGCTATCCACTCCCTATAGATGCTCTCTGCTTCGTCCCGCTGGTTCTTGCTGTAGTGAGCACTATAAGGATCAATCAAGTCGATATATTCCGGCTTAAGTTCGAAAGTTCCTGTATCATTCAAGCCTTCAGGAGGACGGAATCCTGCAACGTCGTCCAAGACATCCTGGAACAGGTCCGAGTCAAGCAGCTTGTCACTGAGGCGTGTAGACAAGTCCGAGAAAGAAAGCGGCTTGAAGCACAGAACATGCGCAATATCGCGGCTCATGTTCTCGCGCGTTGCGGCTTCGCTGTCGTCAACAGCGGTGAGAGAGGTCCGGTCTGTGAGCAGGATGACCAGCAGATGGACAAACTCCTCGGCTACGTCGATGATCTGGCTGTCTTCGTATCCGGGGCGTGGCATATAATCTCTCGTCATCCAGTCCATCATACCGAACCGGTCTGCGATAGACGCAAGCACCCGGCTCGGGTCACAGGTCACCAGCGCAGTTTGCAGTAGGAAGATATCGCGATAGTAGGCAAAGTCGCGAGACGACACTCCACGATACTGAGACATCTGATGCCGAAGGCTGAGACCGTTACGCACCCACATGCCCGCTTTCATCTGCGCGAGCCAGGCGCAGACCCGCAGAGGATAATCGAACATGCAGAGGAGCAGATCCTCAGAAGTCAGCTGACTATCGTGAATGTATTTCTCATTTGCGGCGTGAGCAGCACTCATGAGCACATCCCGCATCAGAGCACTGTTCACATTGCGGCCACACTCCAGCAGCCACGACAGCGTGTAGTGCAGGGCATGGTGGAAGCTCATCGAACCACTTTCAACAACAAAGTCTACAACACGGTAACGGGGGACTCGTTGCTGATCGACTTCGAAGTCAAGGGGAGGCAAAGTCTTGAACCGTACATAGTTCTTGATCTCCGCCTGTTCGAACCTCTTGCGCTCGATTCCCGTAGAATGAACCATTGCAGAGATGGTTGCTGTCCGGATTGCTCGCAATAGCTTCACGCCACCATCAACCTCGGGGTTGCGGAATGCTTCGCAGAACTGACGGCAGAGCCGATTGATCTCCCGCATGAGGATCGAGGCACTGATCCAGGCGTCGGTCTCGTACTCGACATGCTCTCCCACGGCACGTACGTTGGGACAGATACCCTGGGAAAGCTTGACGAGGTCCAAGAATTGAGCGAGGTAAGGTTCTTCACTGCGTACGCGATTCTGTACATACTCTGACTGCAAGAGGTATCTCAGATCAAGGAAGAAATGGTACAGACGTCTGTTGGTCACGGAACCGGCATCGAAGGCCAGAGTTGCGTTCGGGTTTACTTCATAAGGTTCACCAACTTGACGCGTAGTCAGGAATGTATATAGGATGGCCATGACCTTGGTGAGGAAGTTCCCGCGCAGCACGATCTCCTCAGTGATAGAAGGCGTCGTTAGAAGTTGGAGGGAAAGGTTGACAATTGAATGATCCGGTTCACGGTCTGCAATCAGGTACAACTGCGCGAGCGCCGTATATAGAGCCGACAGGCGTAGACCCATGATTCGCTTGAACTGGGGAACATTGACCACGGTACCAATGTAAAGATCGCGCAGATCGGTACGAGTCTTCTTCCACAATCGGAGATCAAACAGGATCATCCAGTCCAGGCGCGTACGCTGCCAGAGATCCTCGTATGGGGGAACATGCTCCCCGAAGGCCGGGACGGAAGGTCGAACTTGCCAATGACTAGGGGTCTTTGCAGGTGATGGTTTTACCACGCCAGATGGTGTCTTGGGGATGGCAACATATGACATGGGAGGAAGTTGGCATGTGTCATTCGAGTTCGGCTCGCGCTCAGGAGATTGCGGCGGAGCTTGGTTCTCCGAGGCTGGCTGCTCTTCTTGTTCCTGTCGTTCCTGTTGTTGCTCAGTGTTGGGGGACATCGACCGCCGACCCAGTTGGATAATAGTTTGAGCCATTTCAAAAGCGTCATCCGTGTTGCCCATCACCATATCTTCCTCATCCGCCATATCCTCTATTTCGGCTTGCTCACGAAGTAAAGCAATCTGCCTATCCATATCCTCATCCTCGTCGTCAGCATCATCATGGGTCTCCACGAATTCTTCGTCTCCATCGCCGTCGCCAACTTGTTCATTATCATTATCGATATCCTCATCATCCTCGTCGTCATCGTCTTCTGCAGCCAAAACCACCTGCCCCTGTGGGGATACCGTGAGCATAACCGTGCGGTACGGAGCATTTTCAGACCTCTGATGGTCATCAATGCCCTTCATTCCGATATCGGCATTCGCAGCATTGCTGCGTTGTTGCCATGGACTAAGCAGTGCCTCACAGATGGTGTGGCGCAGAATCTCGTTATCGTCCATGATACTGCACCCCGAGATATCTGCAAGCCACTCGACGATAGTCCCGCACATTTGTTCGCGGAACGTGTCGCGGGCAGACCGGATTGTAACCGTGACCTTAATCTGTTCGATGATTTTCGACACAGCCAGCAGCCTCTGCAGATCCTTGGAGTATTTGACTACACTCCTCCCAATATCGTTCGTCTCATGGGCCCTATCGTTGCCGAAACGATCCCGTTCCCGACAAGCCCGGCTGACCTGATGAGCAACATCCCGGATGGTGTGTTTCTCATCGTTCCAAAGAGCAAGAGCAAACTCCGGCTCATCTTCCGGTAGATCTCCATCGCCATACCAACCGGGACGTAGCCGGGACGCCTCTTCATCCTGTCTGATCCCCTCCTCTGTTTTCGGGAGCCGCAACTGCTCGGGAGAACAAGAGATGACATCACAGAAATAATCCAGGACGCCGCTAATAGTCGTTCTGATGCTATCGACCAAGTCATGCGGAAGCTGAGTCTGAGCCCTTTGCTTGCCCTTCTTATCCTCGCTGTCGGTATGGATCGCACAGAACAACGGTAGTCGCCATGCCTCCTCATCCCCGCAGTCACAGCAGCCGCAGTTTCCCGAGGACAAAGAAATCTGGTATTGATGGCCGGTGTGATCAGAAGCGTCGAAGCAGCGACTACAGAGCACGCAGGTATCGTCCGCAGCACAGGTAATACACCGATAAGTAGCCTCGCCGGCCCTGAAAATGTGACCACATCGCTTTCCCCGCGCCGCTTCGGTATATTCTGCTCCTTCCTTTGCTCCCTGAGCTTCCGCTAGTTTCCAAACACCTTTCGGGGGTCCGTTGGGGAAAAGTAGTCGGAGATATTCCTCGTTGAAGCCGGTTAAAGAGTGGAAGAGCAGCTCAAGTAGGTCTTGCTCTGCATTGAATCCATATCGATAGTTGTGTGCAGCGGGGAGCCGTAGAAGGCCTTGCCCGAGTACCATCTCCTTATCCGTGAAACTCATTTTATCGCCTTTGCGCTTGGATCGCGACACTCATCGGGCTGTCCGAAAAGTGAGGGGATGGTGAGGGTCGGATGGAGTGGGAGCTTCGTGGGGCCGGCTTGGGATCTCCCAGTCTGCGATCGCTCGGCCTGTGATCGAGCGTGTGAGTGGCGGCAAGTATGTTGCAATAAGCCACGGAGTGGAAAGGGCGTTGAAATCGGTCGGGTTTACTGGGGTGGTAAATCCCAAGTAAGGTTGAGGGGAGGGGAAAAAAATCTAGATCAGTCAAGAAGCTTAGTTATCGAGCGATAGCAGGCACGGCGATGTCACCGTGGGGAAGTGGTGGGAAGTCGGGTTTTATGGTATCCAGCGGCACGCACCAGTAGCCCGTTGATAACATGAGCGGAACTTTCCTATTCTCTCATTCAGATAGGACCCCTGATGGAGATGTCGTTCCGAAAGCAAAAAGCGATGACACTGTATTAGACAATATGTGAAAGAGAAGAGGAGTGTCCTAAGAGTTGGTTCGCCCATGACATCGAGGTACTGCAAACACCGGGGCTTGGCGCCACCGCGATTCTCATCCACGGCGTGTGAACGCCCGGTTGGCTTTCCCCCGCCCAGCTGGGCAACATCCGTGTGTTGCTTGACTACTGACCTGGCCTACATGGTAGGATAACCTACGTATGCATACCCTGCTCCTGGATGGACTGCTGAAAAAACAAAAGTTACAGGTTATTGCGAATCTATCTCGTACAAACACCCTGGGTTATAGCACTTCTCCTTCCCGGCACTCGGCTATAGTATAACATGGGAATGGATATTTTGAACCCCCTAGCACCACTTCTATTCTTTCATATGTAACACGGCGAGTATTGTACCCGAATTTACTCATCGTCCTCATCGTCGGCCTTGTTGAGGTACTGGTGCTTAATGTCCTTCCATTGGCGCTGCAGTAGTGAAACGAACCCGTCAGTATAACTCATGCGGAAAGGTCGTGGGAGGGAAGAAACGTACGCCGCGGTTGAAAGAATCCCAGACCTTGTTGGAGGCAGTATCGAAGGTCCTATTCCAAAGATAATTGTTTAGCGATTGTCAACCCCCCGAAAGATCCCGATAACAGCAACGTACAGCTCGAAGGCGAAGGCACTGGCGAAGATAGTGGTCAGGTAGACCGCGTTACGGCGGATCAGGCCCCTGTAAGTCGTTCAAAGATTCCCAATTAGCAAGACCATTCCATGACGGGCGACAAGTATCGATTTCCGGAGTGAAAGGGGAGACATGCTGGTAGATAGCGGAAGCGAACTGGAACGGGAACACCCTGGAGTTAGCCATTGAACTGTGACAAAACCCATACAAAGAAAACACTTACAGCGCCGGCCATTGTGACGGTAATGGATAGAAAGATAGAGGGGGAAGGGAGCGGGGAAAGACAGCAAGGCAGAGAGGATGGGCGAGATGAGGTTGAAGATTCCAGTCAGGATCGAGTTCGGTTTGGCGGCCGCGAAAAGCAACAGCGGGAATCACCGGGTCGCTGATTGGCCAGTCGGAACACCACCTGCGCAGAGCCTCCGACTGGCCGCCTGGAGAATCAATCAACCTTACGTCGACGAGTCCACAATTTAAATGCGCTGTCGGGCTTGACTGGTGAATAACTGTGGCAACATACACCGGTATTTAATTCCAACGCATTCACCCTCGAGACTTAAATCAGGGGGAAATTCTTACCGTGGAACTACTTGTCTTCCCCCTCAGGCCCACACTGACATTTTCCCACCCGACCGACTCTCAACACCTCGCCGAACGAAAATAAAATTATGGCCTCCAACAAGCCTGGTGCGGTCAGTTCCTCCGGGATCACAACGAATGAATCCACAGGGGAGCGCTACATTCCTTCGTCTGTCCGTGCCGACGGTTCCAAGCGACGAGAGATCCGTGTCCGACCGGGATACCGCCCTCCTGAGGATGTGGAACTATACAAAACCCGTGCGGCAGAGGCCTGGAAGAATCGCGGAAAAGGCGGGGTTCCCGGTGCCGATGGATTGAAGGACGACGAGGACACCTCGGCCAACAAGGCAGGTGGTGCAACCAACAACAAGAATGCGAAGCGTCGCGAAGCTAGAAAGAAGGCCAAGGCGACACAGGATGGTGCTACCAACGGCAAGGATGTGACTCGCATCGAGAACTGGCGTGCCGGTGCGCCCGAAGAGGCTAAGAGGCAATCGAACGGAGCCGAAAAGGACGCAGCGCAAACCGAAGAGGCAGTCGACCCTGAAGCCGAGAAGGAAAAGAAGGCCCGCAACTTGAAGAAGAAGCTGAGGCAGGCTCGCGACCTGCGCGACAAGAAAGCCCAGGGAGAGGCCCTTCTTCCCGAGCAGTTGGAGAAGGTGATCAAGATTCAGGAGCTGATTCGCCAACTGGACTCCCTCGGGTTCGATTCGAACGGAGACAAGAAGGAGGCCACCGAAGTGAAGGAGTAGAGGGAACTACCGATTCGCAGAAGTAACCGTACTTCTTATTAATTAGGTCCTATTGTGCGACTTTCTGAAGGTGCTCCATTACAGCCATTCCGGTCACTGGCATCCATAAACGGCATTTATTCCGGGTCTCTGGTGACTTGATTGCTAGAGCATACCAATCCGTACGATAGTCGATGCAGGAGTATCAAACCAGACATTGGAAGCGGCTCGACTTCCTCAGCACTAGAGCCAAAGCGTATCAAGATATTCGCTACATGTCTTGGGCCTCGCGGATCTCTCGTCCGATCCATGATAGCCCTTCTCCCGACATAAGCCATCCGTGGCAGTCTACCGAGGATGGCAAAATCCGGATGAAAGACATACTCTGTAACATCGTTACATTTTTACTGTTTTTTATACTAGCTTCTCGCGCTACCAAATTGATATCTGGGATCGCTACTGGCGATATCATATTCGCTTTTCCCCGCATAGTGCAGATAATCATACATTTGGTATCATACATGCTAATATAGACATCGAAAGCCCGTGTAGGTCTGTCCTAGTAATGCTGACGCTCCGTAACGTGAACATTATCGAACCGAACCGGGGAGGTAGCTATGCCCCCTTCCAGCTCCCAGTTATGGAAGTCATGCTTGGTCCAAGGTCGACGGCTATTTCCAGGGCCAAGTTTCTTAGAGCCAACACCATACGACGAGGCTAGGTAACCTTGTCTGATGCAGTCCACTACGCCAATTCCCACAGTGCCATACCATGCACCAGCTAAGGTGAGCCGCTTATGAAAGTCACTCCGAACAGAATGCGAGAGCTCTTTCATGCGGGACAGGTGGCCAACTGTGTACTGGGGTATAGCATCGCGGAGCAACCGGGCGCGTGCCACAGACGGAGCCGTCTTGATTCCCAAGTGCCTATGAAGCAATGCCTGGGCCATCTCAACTGCTTTATCCGGATCAGGATAGTCGGACTCGCTCCAGCCGTCCCACAAATGACCACCCATCATCACGGTGAGCTTTGTGCCGGGTGCAGTGTCCTGTCCTTCGCTGGACTGGGACCCGAAGATAACTCCCAGGGCCCGCTCGGGGTTCTGTTCAAAGGGAACCGAGCTAGGTAGCAGGTATCCGAACCCTTCAACTGGAACCAGGTCTGGGTCCTCGTAATATAAATTGACAACCATGACAGTCGCTGCGTAGTTGTTCTGTCCTAGGGCGCGGATCGTATCAGAAGGTACGACACCCACCTTTGTGTTCTCTATCTGCCGAGCGAGACTCGAGGGCGCGTGGGTGGCAATTACACGGTTATGAGTCTTTGACTCGTTCGTACCAAACCCGATCTATACTCATGTCAGCCTTTTAATCCATTTGATAGCAAATAGACGTAAGCTCTCACTCACGGTCAAGTCCCGAGTTTTCGGATTCTGGCTAAGCGAGGTTACTTCAGTCCCCGTCACAACTTCCACATTACTGGAACTCCTGAGTTGGGCAGCCATAGCATCTGTCAGTTGTCCCAAACCGTTCTTCAGCGTAAGAACGCTGGCATCTGAGACCACCGCACGCAGACTCTTCCAGTAACGATCATCACTGTGGGATGGGACCGCCACCGATTCCAACGCCAACAACTCATCCATTGGCATAGCACGCATTCCTGACGCCCTCTGGGTCATCATGCCATCCACTATAGATCCATATCTCTTCTCGAGTTCTCGTACATAGCCAATGGCCATTTCTGCACTCAGACGGTTTACGTCTCCCGCGAAAATGCCAGCCATGACCGCAGAAGCGAGATTCTCCGACATTTTGGGGGAGAACCGACGCGAAACAAAATCCGCGACTGATTCGTCACGGGAGAGGATGTGGGCATTTTCAGCCCTTTTTGGCTTCTCGAAGATAGCGCTATATAGAAAAGTCTCGAACAACGGCTCCATCAAAAGTGTCCAGGCTGTCTTAAGCAATCCCTCCGTGGGCGGAAATGGCAGGCGTACGAGATGATCGGGGTAATAGATGTAACGGTTTTGAGCTGCGGGCGATTTCTTGTCGCAGATCAGAACATCATCCAATAAATCCAAGTTCATTATCTGCAGCATTGAGCCAGTATTGTTAGCCATAGGCAACCCCCCTAGTACTGACGTCCTGGCTTACCAGATCCATCATGGGAAGGCACGAGGGACTACTCGTCCTCAAGGTCCGCGGACCATATTCGAAGACGACATGTCCTCCACGGACAGGAATCTGCTCGGACGAGAGCCAGCCTCCCAAATGGGAGGACTTCTCATAAAGCGTGACTTTGGAGCACGACGGGTCGCGCGATAGTTGGTAGGCCGCTGTGAGGCCGGTGATGCCACCGCCTATGACCGCAGCGTCAAACTGTTTGGTATGCACGGCGTGCCTCTGACCCCTGTGGAGCAGAGCCAATGGCGCTCGCACTTGCCGGAACGCACGGCTGGAAGCACATGGTAACCGCATATTAGCGATAATGAGACACACTGGGGTCAGCAACCAAGTGTCCAGGGTGCTCAACGGGGTGGAGGAAGCGGAAGAGCTGCGGAGCGGAGGGGCCGCTAGCAGAAGCTCCGATTGCCGACCGCAATAAAGTTTATTATTGACGACCGGCATATGCACTCCAGTTACTACGAAGGTCCCCAACAACAAGACCACTATTACAAAAGCTGAAAGGTACTGACTGACTAGGCCGTGCAGAACATAAGCAATCTCATGATATCCAGATTCTATTTACAAAGCCACCGTAAGTATTCTTTACTGCCATTGCCATGACCATAACATAAAGTAGATCGAAATTGAACGCCCTCCCAAGTAAGCACCCGCGCACACAAAATAATACATGAGATCTCTCCGGCATCATATGGGGAATTGGACAATGTGGAATCATCAAAAGAAATGTGGTCAGGTTGATCCAACGCCGGAATCTAAGTCGCGATCTCCTGACTCTGAGAACCTTCCCCGGCCGTGTCAGGCTTAATCAACTCTTCTGTACCCTCCTCCTCTGCAACAAACTTCCGTTCGCTCACATGCTCTTTCGAGCCCGGAGTCCACACCTTGTCGGAGAAGGCACCCTTTTGGCCCTCGGCATGCTTGTAAGGACAGCTCGGATTAAGGCAAGGTGTGAACTTGCATGGGGTTTGGATGTGAGTAAACTTGCAGCCTTCCTGAGAGCAGTCGGCTCCATTCCGACAAAGGGGCATGCTGGGATGTTTGAAGTGACAATGAGGGTTGGCGCAGTTGGGGAAGAATCTGCAGAGCTCCTCCGCCTGATGCGCCGACTTGACGGCAGGTGAAGGGTGGCGGCCTGTGCACTTGCGGTTCTTACAAGCAGCCCCGTAAGTGCAAATATCCGAAACGTCGACCGGAGAACCTTCGGGGGCGGCGGGCGACTGGTGTGCAAACGGGCAGTCCTTCCTGGTACACCGGAGGTTGAAGCGACAGACAGTGTTGGTATTGCTTTCATCCTGGCCCCCTTCCTGTCCAGCCTGATCAGGTTTCGTATCCATGTCAACATCTCCCGACTGTTCGTGATGGTTGTTATGGCGCTGACCGCGGTGCCGATGGCCATGCTGACGTTCGACTCGATCGAACAAAGACCGGCCATTTTGGGAGCCATTTTGCTGGAACGCCGGGTTGATTGCCGGAGGAACAAAACCGGGCATAATCTGCGCCATCATACGAGCTTGCTCCTCAAGCAGAGACATGAGGTGCATCTGATCCGACTGGGTCATGTTCATCATGTTGCCCATATTCATTCCACCCATCTGACGACCACCGGGCATTCTGCCGCCTCCATTCTGATTGAAACGGCCCTTTCCGTGCTCGCGGCCGTGGGAGTTGACCCGTCCACCGCCAGCTTGACCGCGGACTCGATGTAAAGCCGAGTCCCCACGGTCCATCGAGCGATTTATCTGGTTGAGCATTCTACCACGTCCACCACCACGACCATTGCGCATGGCTTTCGGTCCCGTCGGTCTATACATAAAAAAAAAGAGAGGTTAGTCTATATCGCCAACTTGGGTATGGGGAGAAAGAAAACCCACATCGAGTCGCCTTGGGCTGCATCGCCCATGCTCATATCGGCATCCTGCGCATTGCCATCAAAGCCGGACATTTGTGTAGGAGCAGATTCTTGATCACCAAATGACGGAATCGCCTGTGCAGATGAAGCCTCGTTGGGTGCCGGGGCACCCCCGCCATTGATCTGTTGGTTGAGAATTTCGACTTGTTCGAAGAGCCATCTCGAGAAATCGAGGGCCTGTGTATCGCCTTCACCGAGACCGCCGAGAAGATCATTGGAGAGTTCGCCGGCGATCTGTTCCTGAGTCTTGCCATTCGCCAGCATCAAGATCACATAATCGGTAAGGGCTGAGTCGTCGCCACCGTCGGAGCTCCAACCCATCTCGACCAGCTTCGGGGGAATGACATGACCCAGCGCCTCAGCGAGCGGGGTTCCTGCGGTGACCATTGTAGTCATGATGCAAACGCACGAGTGCTGAAGAGCGACCTAGGAGTGACACAGACGTAGGCGAGGAAATGTAGGAGGGACGGCACGGGGTATCGTAAAACGCCGCGCCACTGAACCCAGAAGGCGCTCTTGAGACGATTCGCTAGTTTATATAATAGGTTTCCCGGAGCCAAAGATTGTCAAGAATCGGAGGCTATACAGGATGGAGGGAAAGAGCTGAGGGGAGAGGAGGGATGTTTTGGGAAGAGATCTGGTATCCGTCGCAGGAACTTTGCTTCGCCGATGATGAAAGTCGCGCGCCACATCAGTCACGTGCTAGGTACTGCCGTGGCGCAGCCGCCAACTGGCGAGTTTGGCTGCGAATTGCCCCAGAGAGAAATGCCGGAAACTTAGCATCTACCACTTCGCCTCAATGCTTTTGACCTGTGGTGTCAACTTGTAATTTCCTGTCATAGAGGGTCATATGCTCTTTTCAGTTAGGACATAGAAGTTTAAGTTTGTACAAGGATCAAGAACCCGACCAATTGAGCCGGATCCACACTCCATACCAGCAGTTCATTTCAGCTCCATCAGATGCGCCAAATTGCCTTACTCAGCTAGCTAGCTCTCTAGCTTCATATTTCTCTTCTTGTCTATCCGATCTGCAACTACCATTCCAGTATAGGAACCTCGGGTCTAATTGTTTAGCAATGCGCGGGGTTCACTGGTCAATCAAAATGAGAGTTTTAATCAAACGAGCGGGGGTCTTGCATCTTGGGTGACATATAGTCGAGCTTTTGGTTAAATAGTGCATGACTCGTGTCCACGACCAGAATAATTCTTGCATTCCTGTGCCGTGGCTTTCCAACCCTTAACTATACCTTGACTCATCCCACTTCCCTCTTGAGGCCTTTGCCCTGGCACCATGCTTGAATATCTTGTTGACCGGGTGAGCCCCATGAAGGCATCCGCTTGCCTCGTGGGGATCTTCTTCCTTGCATGTCTCATCCGTAAGATCCAAGTGTCTTGGGAAATCTCTCGACTGGGCCTGAGGGCTCCACGCATGCGGTTCTGGCTGCCATACGGTCTGTTAATACCACGTCCCCGAATATTACCATCACCAGCATGCCCCTTTCACAATGATCCGTAGGCTAACCGAGATATCCCCAGCCCTCGACAATGTTTACGCCTATGTGATGGCAA